TGTCTAAATACGAGGCCCTAAATATGGTATAAACAAAATTCATTTTAAATAAACCATCTGGTAAAACACCATCACCAATATTCAAACCATTCTTAAATAAACTTATTATTGGATTGTCAAAGCAAACCTTAAAATTACAAAGTACCAACTTTGAAATTGAAATTAAATTTCTAGAAAAAGACGGAACATAAAAGACATTTTCCAAATCTAAATTAAAACTAGATGCTAATTTTATTCTAAAAGTCCCCGCTGCTTTAACACTGGAGCACATCCGATTTCTTGAGTAGATGTTTTGCTCATTGCCCCTCGGCTTCCTGTGGTTTAGGAACCCCTGCATGACATTGGTAATGTGAATTGAAGCACCAGAGTCAATCCACCATGTATTATTAGGAGCCTCAACAAAATAAGATTCATGACACACATAAGCCAAAAGAGTACCTTTCTTTTCCAGCCATTTCTTGTACTTGGCGCATTCTTTCTTCTTGTGTCCCTTCTTGTTGCATAAGAAGCATGCATCCTTGTCGGCAAAACACTTCATCGGTTTCTTTCCTTTCACCTTAGGAAAACGTTTGCCCTTCTTGGCACCTTCATGCTCGTTAATCACCAGATGAGCAGTTTCCAATTTCTCAAGTTTCAATCTCTCTTCCTCTTGAACACACATGGTCAAAAGTTCATTGGAAGACCATTTTTCCTTATGTGTGTTATAGGAAATCTTGAATGGTCCATACTCAAAGAGGGAGAGAATTAAGAATGAAATTGACCAAGAATGACTCAGAAATCTCTATCTCTAAGGACATAAGTTGAGCTGCAATGTCCCTCATTTCCATAATGTGCTCACGCACACTCTTGGAATTGTCGTACTTCATGCCTGAAAGTTTCTGCATCAGAGTGCTAGCAAGTGCCTTATTAGATTTCACAAATTGTTCTTCAATGGCTTTCATGAAATCTGTCACTTTATCACATTCTGGGATTGAGCCCCGAATGCTCTTGCTTACATTGGATTTGATGAGCACTAGACTTAAGCGATTAGATCGCTCCCACCGCTCATATGCAGCCTTGCTTTCTTGAGTGCTTGATTCCGTGGGCATGGGTGGTTCATCTCCACGGAGAACAAGGTCGAGATCCATGCACCCTAAAGCCAACAGGACTTTGTCTTTCCAATCAGAAAAATTGTCACCACACAACATTGGAACACGAGATGAATCAAAAGAGATAACTGCAAACCAAAAACAAACAAATCATGCTTTTGAAATGTAAATTCACACCTTCCTATGGGCAGAGGTTGTTTAACACAAGAATTCACATAAGCTTTAAGGTAATCAAGACATCTGAACCAAAAATCCATACCTGTGGGAATAGGAAAACTAACACTTAAATGTCTAGATTGCCATTTTTCTTTTCACTAATATTAAATACTTACTTCCTGTGGGTAGGGTAGTTATTTAGATTACTGTAATTTGTAGATGCCTCATTCCTTATTTCATGTTTATTAAAACTGAACTCCTTACATGATTAAATCACACACTTTAGACTTAAGATGCTGCGGCTAATCTTAAATCAACATGAAGCTATTATATATGTATTAACTTACTGAGTTTAAATTCAAAGAACCTCATAACATACATGGATATGGCATCAACTTACAGTTTTCATATAATAATGAAATGAAACTCGTAATATGAATAGATTAAACAAGTTTGAACCCTTAAGCACGATCAAACGATATCACTTCGTGCCTTTGGAAAACTGAATTGTGAACAATATGTACTGAAGGTGGCTCTGATACCACATGTTAATTATCTTTATGATCACATTCAGCGCAGTAATATGCAAAATAGAATTCGTACTAACCTCCAGCCATGATCGTCCAACAGCAGGTTTCCAGCGGCACAGTGAAATCGAAAGCTACTGTATCTCTAGTTTAAGTGATCTTCTAGCCTATTGCCACTTGAGTACCTTTCTCAGATGGAATGCAAGGCTTTATAAAGACTAGGCTAGGGACCCCTTAATCTCACGTGGAAACAAACTGACTCCACTAATCCCTACCATCAAGGGATTCGCTGAGTAAAAATCTCTCTTCTTATCTGTCAACTAGAGTCATGCTCTTAGTGAAATGTAATCAACTAGAGTCATGCTTGGAGTGGGTTGTTTGACTAATTCATATCTTAAGTAATTACCAATATCAGTAACTAAATATTAATGACTAATATGTGGGTCACCTTAAGTGAAAATATTTGAACGTTGCTAACATGTTGTTGTTGTTGTAGTTGTTGTTGTTTCGATCTAACTCTTCCTTGCAAGCAATCTGCTATACCTTAATATATATATATATATATATATATATATATATTCTCTTTTTTTGTTTTTACAATATATAGGTTTATAATTTTCATATCTGCATCCTCAATTCTTAATGAGAAATGATCTCTCCAACAACAACAAAATCCACTTAGTCTTGTTTATCTTCTTACTGTTAATTTATTCAATTCATATTTTAAAAGGGTAATGCTAGCTAGGGACCCAATATTTAAACTACATTTGCAAATCAAATGATTTGTCACAAATAAAAAATAAGTACATTAATCAACACTTTAAGTAATAATCAAATCATCAACGTCCACATCATTTGATTTACAAAATTTGATTTAAAAATTTGGTATCCCTAGCATTACTCATATTAAAAGTAAACATAAGTAAAGAAAGAAAAGTAGTATGTGAAACACACTTCTCTTTGTAATTCTTTTTCTGATTCGTTCACTCATTCTCAGATCTAGTACACTGAGCTTTATACATCCTCTTACTTAAAAGTGGTATCATGTTTTGTTTTAAAAGAAAGATAATAAGGAACTTGGAATATGGTGGCACTATAGGTGGTGGTAGTGGTGGAGGTGGCAGTGGTGGTCATGACAAGGTGGGGGGCCAACGTATGTTCTCACTTTTGCTAATTAAATTATAGAAATAACAACTATCTATATGAAATTTCAAATTTTTTCCACATGAAATTTCTTAATTTGATGTTTATGTATCCAAACAAGTGCATTTATATAATCAATTTAGGTTTTTTTTCTCCTCCCAACGGAGGGTAAGTGTTCTTATTGACTATTTAGCAGTATTTTGAATTTTGTATTGATACTTTTTTTTGAGTCTATTAAAAGTCATACATACTGATGCTTTTGGTTATCATGTTTAACATAATGATTGTAACCTATACAAAATTACGTTAGTATAGACGTTTAGCTTGGAACCAGTAACACAATGATTTGGTTTTGTAGATCGAAGAAATGAAAGAAACCCCTTGTGAAGAGTCATCTGAAGTTTTAAGTGGTTCAAAACAAGAAAAGCCGAAGAATGAGGAAAGAGGAGGTTCGTCACTAAACCAGGGTTCTGGGTAAGACTTCTGAAGCTGCAACCAACCACAGAAAAACGAAGAATAAATTCATATATCTGTCAAGAAAAGGAGAGACTTAGGGTTGCCTTTTAAATGATGTTTTCTGTTTGAGGTTAAAAAAAGGTTTTGAATATTATGATCATGTCATTGTGCGCCTAGCTAGGTTAATGAAGAGAAATTTTCATCCAAATATATTTAGTCAATTTCTCTTTTTCTTGATACAAGCACTCTTCTAGGATTTTTTGAGTTCTTTGATACACTAGTGATAATTTTCACTAATCGGTCGGGGATTTGAACTACCGCCAATTTGATGAAAATGTTCAAACAGTAAACAAATTAAAACACAAGGACCAACAAGCCAGATTCCAATCACATATATCCATGATACATAAACATTGAAATCTAATCAAGCAAATCACGATTGACAAAAAAATAAAAATAAAAGTCAGGATTTAACCCAAATTCCTTGCTCGCCAGGTGATCATCTAATACTAATACGTACGGCTCAGACACGTATCAATTTGCTCGATACTAGTCTAAAATGGCTCTATATGTACCATATATAAAGTATATAAAATATACTAAGACATCAAAAGAGTTTATCGTTATACAGTATCTTCTCAATGTTGTAATAGGTCTCAAGTACAACTCATTCTCCCAATTAATAAGAAAAAGAGAACAAATATCATGACACTGGTGAACCACATGATGATGATCTAGAGGAGGCCGAAGTGCCTCTAGAGTATTCTCGGTTTTCAAAATAGCGTGGAGAAGCCACCTCTCTTTAAAAAAAGAAAAAGAAAAAGCATCCTGTAACAGTATTTCTCTCTTACACTATGTGTACTTTTTCTATATCCTTTGTCAGGGGTTCATAATGCCTATTCCTACACACGCACACCTAAGATGGTATAAATGATTTGCTCAATACCATCCATCCAAAATCCAAAAGTGAAGATAAGCAATAAAAGCACGATATTTTAATTACAAAAAAATGTGCTACCTAAAAGCTATCACCGAGCATGGCATAAAAAATAAAAAAATAAAAATAAAAATGATGAAGCGCGCACACATGCACCTCTTCTATAACCTATCGAGCGAAAACTCTAAAATCCTATATCTTTTAAGATATGAAGTATTTTGATTAGTCGTGAAAATATAAAGCTCGAAATAGTAAACTAATACAGTGAGTCTCGATGAAAAATAAAGGGAAAATAAAGTAGGAAAAATGAAGTGAAAACTCTAAAATCCTATATCTTGAAGGAAATCACGTAGGACAAAACATCAAGTAGGAAAAATAAAGAGAATTTTAACAAAAAACTCTCGGTACTATTTATTTTAACGAAAAATCATATTTTTACACTAAAAAGTTAATCATGATACTATTCGCTTTATCTTTTATTTTGTCGTTCGTTAAAACTCAAAATTTTTAAACCATTTTCATTAGTTTTTCTAAAATTAAAAGGGTACCACATGTCTACCACTCTTCCATCAACATATGGCAGAGCAGCCATCATGCCACGCCTAAATTCCAACCTCTGTCTACCAGAAGATGGACAAAAAAGCAGCATAGAAGGAGAGGCAGTTTATGGACTGGGCTTATGTAGTTGGCTTGGATCTTTTCAGCCCAGGTAATAAAACGCAGCGTCGCGTTATATGCCAAAGCAATAGAAAAGGGAAAGAAAGAGTAGTAGCTGAATCAAGCTTTGGTTCGCCCACAAACTCCAAACTCCCGCAGCGCAGACTTGTTGTGGACTCGGTTTCCAGAGGTAAAACTCCATTTTCTTCTCCACTTGTTTCGAGATATCTTGGGACCAACCTCTAATTTTTGTTATAATTGTTAATCAGATCTGTTTTACTCTCTAATCCCAAAAAAAAAAAAAAAAAAAAATTTAATTAAGTCAAATTAAACCTGTATTTGTTCATGCGAGATGTGGATGGATATGTGGAATTGTTTTGGGATTATAAGAATTGATAGGTTTTTTAAGTGTTGGCTTATTTCGTTTCAGATTATTTTGGAGTACCTCTCTGTTTAAACTTGCATATAAATAATTTAGTAATTAATTGAACTAATTTGTGTCTTTGATAGATCTAATGCTTGTAATTTGTAATTCAAAAACACGTGAATGTCACTGGTGTTGGATTTGTTGCTATTTTGTTTAGTGATTTGCATCTTATTATGCAATTTTTCGACCCGGGTATTTGAGATATTTTTTGTGTGGGTTACTTGATGCAGTCAGGTCATTTGGAGGCTCCCCTGTACGAGTCGTGTGACTTCTCAACTGATCTTTCTTGATTTGCCATGTGAGTGTTATTCTTTTGTTTAATTGTTAGAATCTGCTCTAAGTTTTGTATTCGGGATTTATACGGCTTTGCTTTTGTTTTCCAATCTGAACTTCCAATCTGAACAAGAGTCCAAATTGGTGTTTTGTTACATTTTGTGAACTTCTTGTTTAAAACCGTTAAAAATGGTGCTCCATGGATTGAAAAATGTTAGATAAGCAAAAACCAGTGATTCAGTGAACTAGATAACCCGCTCTTTTGGTAAGGGACTGCAAGAGAGCTAAATATGTTGTGCAATATCCATCAGATAGAGAGAAAGATTACCACTTTATATATTCCCTTGATCTTTTGATTTGTTACTCCATCAAGTTCATCCATCCAGTTAGCTTTGAAGTGGGTCTTCTAGTGAGGACCTGGTTCTAAAGAATCTTCGGATTAATTTTCAATTGAAACTGTGTTTTGTTCTGTTAGACGGTGATGATTAGTGAACAGGAGTTACTACTGACATTTTGCGTTAGCAACATGACATTACACACAACTAGACTCAGTGGCTAGCTAAGTTCTACCTCCTGCTTCTCTAACTGTAGATATTTTTCCGTTAAAAAAGCAGACGGCTGCTCAAATGGTTTCATATTTTCTGTTATATTATTAAAGTTAGGGTTGGAGAGCTTACTTTATCTTCTGACTCATGTAAGTAAAGAAATCATATATGCTCAATCTCACGATCGCTTGTCAGATGATGCTTGGTTTAGATTTCATCAACTAAGTTTTGGTGTAATATATGATGATATTGTGCCATAGCTGGCTGACTTTACTTTAACCAATTGAAAGATCACATTCAGTTTTCTTTTTATTTGTTATTTTATTTGTGGTATGTAATTATGTATGCATATGTATGTGCTTGTGTGAATATAATGAGTCCCTATCTGTTGAGGAATCCCTCAAATAACCTTTGTTTGAGGAACACCTCGTGGGGTTCACTATTTTGTTTCAATTATCCGAACTTTCTTCATTCAAAGTTCATCCTCAAATGAGACAAATCTGAAACTGTAAGACATCTTGTTTCAGTAGATAGAATTAGATGAACAGGGTATTTGAAGGAAACACTAAAATGAAGGCCATACAATAGTGATTTCAGATTTGAGTGATTTGTTGCAAGGATGATCTTTGAGAGAAGACATGAAAACTTATTGTTTGAATCATAGAAATACAATGCTAAGTGGGCCCTACAGATGTGTTCCTATAATAAAGCTTATTTGAGGGATCCCTCAGTTTAAGCTTCCTTTATATGTACTAAGTTATTCAAAGAAGCCTTTGGCTGAATATGTTTACATGTAGGCAGAAGGGAGAAATAATTTGGATCCATGAATTTAGAAGTCTGCTATGTTTACACATAGTAGGGATTTTTTTTTTCAGCTATTTGGCTTGACTGCGAAGTCACTATATCGTAATCTTCTTGTGGGATACGCTTCTTGGTTGTTTTCTTCGTTTTGGTTTTTTTGATTTGTATGGAGGATAAAAGATGTGGTGTAGAAAATAAGAAATAGCAAACGATTTTACAATTAAGCATTACAACACGATTAACACAGGATTAACTTGTAAGGATATAAGAACAGAAACAACTCGCTCTTTTATATGACAATCACATATTCTAAGTTAGACTCTAGGTAATAATATAATATGTAGGCAGATTTTATGATTAATATCTCACGTGAGTAGCTAGGTAAATTACAAAAATGCATGATCGTTGCAGAATTAGCAGAAAATCTTCTTTCCATAACAAAATGGTCAGTTCTGGATGTTCATACTACTGGATCCTTGCCTTAATAGTTGGTTGGTATTGGTAGCTCAATTCCTTCTCTAGTGATTATACTATTACATATTCTCCAATGCTCAACTGGTTTTGTGTGTAACACCTCTATTGTCGATTTAGTTTTGGCATGTCCCTTTTTATTTGTGTGTGCATGTACTGTACGTCTCTTCTTTTTTTCGTAATATTTTTGGTAAAACATATTTAGGGCGGACGAGGAACCTGTTGATCAAAAGAAGTACCTCGAAGAGTCTTGCAAGCCAAAGTGTGTGAAACCGTTCCTCGAGTATCAGGTATTTCCAACATCCTAATGTTTTTCGGCTATGAAATGTCTTTCTCCATTGTTTCATTACTCTGACCAGGATAAGGGTTGCCCTTGAAGACCAGCATGACATCTAATATCTTTCTAGCTAGTAAGGCACATATCGAACACCAAAAAAAGTTTGACAAATTTCTGAAAATAGAAAGTAAATTTTTTTTCAAGATTCACGAGTTCAGCATAAACTCATGATGATAGGAGATGATAGTCAAACATGTAATATAATTTACAAACAAACACAGAACTAGATTGAGTCATACATGTTTTAGTAGTTTGATCTCGTTGTTTAAGCAATTGGTCAGTGGTGGGTAGTCATGAGGAAACAAAAGGAAGTCAAAAATATTTTACCCTAACTATATGGAATTAATAAGTAGAGATAGTTAAGATATAGAATATTGATTGTCAAACAGTCCACTGTAATTATTTTGTGGTTTTCTACCTTTTGTGCATTCTCTGCTACATGCCAGAGATGAACAAGAAAACAGAAGTCTTTCCCTAAATGGTTGACCTACACGGAAGTTTGTGGCCCTCGAATTTGAATTAGTTTGCAAAGGGTGTGTAAAAATGGCAATTTCATACTTTGTTGCAGGCATGCGTTAAGAGGATCCAAGATGATGATAGCGGACACAAGCATTGTACTGGGCAATATTTTGATTTCTGGTCTTGTATCGACAAATGTGTAAGTAGTTGTGTTGAATTGTCTTGAAACTCATTTAGTTACACCTTGTTTGTTCACCCAAGGCCTAAAACTACAATTGCGCGGTGCAGGTTGCTCCGAAGCTTTTCCCGAAACTGAAGTGATGTGGTTATTAGTTTTGTCCTAGACTGACGGCATTTGGTTTTTCAATTTTTTAGCCAGTTAAATGCTTCAAAACGGTATGTTTTATTCCCTGAACTAGGGATGGATGTGTGACACAATTTATGAACATGGAGGCACTGAATTTGTGATCAATAAAAAGTAAAGTTATACTCTCTCGTGTGGATAAATTTTTAGTACGCGGGCATTTTTGCTCACCATCGTTTAGTGTGGTGTATGCTCACCACTTTATTTATCACCATTAAATGAGTTTGAATTTCGAGATTTATGCTTATCTATTACATGATTCTCAAAATTCAAACTCACCTAACGGTGATAAATAGGGTAGTGAGCATACACTACACTAAATGGTGGTGAGTTAGTACCTGGAACATGACGTGACGAGGAGTTCCCAGCGAATAGAATCATAACACCTGGCTATTTCAGTTTTAAAGTTAAAAAAATTGCCACGTTGTCGTTTAAGTGAAATTTTGTTAAATAACTAGAATTTTTGGTCAATTGGATTCTGAATTACCCCTATCTGATGCCAAATTTATCCCTTCCCCTCTAAACACCCACAACACCAGCGACTACCCACGTCTATCGCCGCCCTGTGACTCTGCCAACGACGCCCCATCCCTGCTCTCTTCCTCCTTTTCTTTCTCCTCTTCCCTCTTTTCTCTCCCATTCTTATGTTGACATGTAACGCGAGAGTAGTCGGTCGCACCCTCAGATCTGCTGTCGCCGGCCTCCGATTTAATGGCTTGTGAGGTCAATTGAATCCCGATCAGTTAATCATGTTTGAGGGCATGTAGATCAATCATTGTTTTTCTTGCTTTATTTTGATTTTGGTAATATTTAATTGATCTACAAAATGATTAAGCATGATTAAAATTGTAAAGATGAGATGGATGGTTTCACGGGAGGAATGGTGGAAATGGAAGTCGGCGCGGATGGGGAAGGAGGAGAAAGCGTGGTTGGTCCATCTGGGGAATTGGAATCCATTAATGACTTTTTTATTATTTTTATCAAAACAATTAATTTTTGAAAGAGTTATCTCTGTTTTAATTGTTATTTTACAGGTGTCAGTAAGTAATTAGTTAGGAACACCACCTGTTATGCTTATGTGTACCTGATCCTGTGAAAAATTTCTCTTTGGTGTGCCCGATGCACACGATAATTTATGGACAACACAAGTTAAGACGCTTTGGAGTTATTTAGCTAGTGTTGTTAGATCTTACATCGTCTAGTGATGTGGATCATCTATGTCTTATATGTGCATGTTGATCTCCTTTAGCACAAGGGTTTTTGGGAGCTCACTGATTTCGGATTTCATAGGAACTCCGAAATTAAGCGAGAAAGGGGTCAGAGCATTCCCAGGATGGATGACCCTGGGAAGCTTTGTTTGTGTGAGTTCCCAAAAAACAAAACCGTGAAGGTGTGGTTGGGGCTCAAAAAGGACAATATCATGCTACGGCGAAACCCGGAATGTGATGGACCCCGGGTTGGGATGTGACAAGTGTGTTGATTACTTGTTCATGTTTTTTTTTTTTTTTTTTTTTATGTGATTCGAGTGTTTCCTCCTTATTGGCCTGTATATTTGCTGACGCTGTTATACACAAGTTACAAACATCACACAACATTCTTGACGAAACAGGCGGTTGGATTGAACTCAGAACTATTTATGAAAATACGTAGGTACGTATTTAGTATCGAATTGAAGTCACCATTGTAGAGTTGAACTTTGAAACTATATATTTACAAGCACATAAGTACTAGATTTTAGAAGTATCCAATTACAAGGGAAAATGGGGTGTGAACTAGATCTGGCAATTTTATAAACAACACAAAAGTTCGACTCAAAAAAATTAGAAACCAGGTCGCAGTATAAAAGGTTAAAAAAAAAAAAAACATAGTATAGACTTTTGAAAAGCTTGGATGCATAAAAAAAGGGTTGTGTTGTCCACACATTTTTTTTTTATTTCTCATGCACCATCTTATTTTTTAGCTGTTGAATTGAATAAAATCAATGGACGTAAATTAATAAGTGATGTGTAGATATCACACCCCTAAAAAAATGCGTGAGCATGCTACATAAATGCAGATTGAATCTTAGAAATATATAAAAATGTTAAAGGATTTGATTAACCTGGGTCAAATGATGGAACTGTTAAATGTTTGAAATTACGACATGTGTGCGGTGAAATATAAAGTAAATAGGCATAATATTTACGAGGTTCGACAAGTAGGGTTAAAATCTCATAAAATACTTGTAAGAGTACAAGATAGTTGTAGCATGAATGCTCAAATAAGGTCGTTCTTTTACAAGGATTGAACGAATAACTTGTATTTAAACTAATCCTTAATTAACTATTTGAAACAGATTTTTAGAAAAAAAGATTGAGATTGTGAAAGTTAAAAGATGTAAATAAAAGAAACAAAAATGATTCAAAGAACAAAATCACACTTGGCAATAAGAAATTTAAACAGTTTTTAAGAAAATCACTTATGGAAAAGATTAAAGTTTAGCCGTCGTCCTGAACAATTCTACACTGTTCTACCAATTAATGATGAATTACTACATGCATATTTTGAATATTAGGTTTTCCTAAAACATATTCTCCTCGTAATGTTCTAGCAAAAACGTATATTTAACATGCAATCCGATTGTGATGTTCAGATCAAATATGAACATGCAAGACTCATTAAGTTCTATGAAAACCCTTTGAAATACACTGCAATGCTTAAGATCATGATATTCACCTTAAGTGAAATTACAATTATGAATCACAAGAAGCTATCCTCAATTTCAGGTGATGTTCCAACAAAAATTGCGTCAAATTACTTGTCTAATTCTCTCCTCATTAAGTCAATTAGATAGTTTAAGCAAAGTGATTAATAATTCAAAACAAGCATGCATATATTCATAATAAATTTGATAAGAATGACATATTCATGCTAAGGCTCGTGGTCTCACCTTAGGAAAATGAATTAGTTACATATTCATAGTAAAAGTCACAGAAAATATCATTAGAATTAAGTATAAGAAAAGCACCCTTGTTGGTTGAAGTTTGCAAAGTGCCAGAGCCATCAGCAGAGTTCTCTCAATTCGCGTAAAGAACCCTAATGGCCGACTGGATGCTTATAAACAGCACCTTACTCATAATCCCACCTAGTAAGGTCTTCTTAAAAACTATTAGCAAAATAACAAAAGGATAACTTAAAATCACAATCATAATCAATTAGGTAATCTGCCAGTTAGAAGCTCTTCACGTTTCTGGACCAAACCAACACACAAAAAAACCCAAAAAGTCTTGTCTTAAAGGTCAGGACGTCTTACTACAACTTTGTAGAATGGCTAAACTACACAAAATGCCATCTTCGTACACTAAAGTCAGAATTAAGTCCAATAAGTCAATCTTCCAGCATTATGCGGTGGTCACTTGTGAGTCTACTCCAATTGGAAATTCCCCAAAACATTTCATCACTTTTTGCATAGAATAAAGTCACATGTCCTACACTTAAAATATAAAATAGAGTATCAAAATCTCACCAAAACATACTAAGAATAAGGTAAAATATACATTATGAAATCGACTCAACACTTTTTTTGTGTTACTTCGGCCAATAATAATCTACATTCATACGACAAGTTATATACTTGATTTAAGAAATGAGTCGTACAGAGGTATGAGGATAAAATAAAATAATTTTCTTATCTGTGAGATTTTGACTGAAAGAGGTCAGAGGTAGGTAGTGCTTCACCGGATTCATGGTGTTGCACCTTTCACTGACACGAGAACTTGTTGTGCTGATAACGTGTTAAGAAGTAGACGTAAAATATAAAGTAATAAGGCATAATACTTGTGAGGTTTGGCAATTGTACCTATGTCCTCGGTGCTAGTTTCTTTCATTATTTGACATATTAAGAGTACAAAAATAACTCTCACTATTTTTCTCTTCTCCCTAGCCTTAAGGCTAGTTTGGTATTGTTGTGCTTTGAAAAAAAACTACTTCTGTTGTGCTATGAGAATAAGCAGCTGTGAAATAAAGTAACAGAGTGTTTGGTAAACTTTTTTGTAAAAATGCTTTTGGAAAAAAAAAGAGTAGTATTATAGTGTTTGGTTAACTTTTATGTAAAATAGTTGTGACTGTGTAAAATGACCAAAAAGGGTATAATACTAGATGTGCCATTAATTTAATTTTCTTAACAAATAAAGGTGAATTACTAAATATACTTGCTTGATCTTAATGTACTCTTTTTCCCTACGATTATGAGCATTTTTCCGACTGAGTTTTTGCTTTTTGTTATTTTGTAATCCTTTTATTAGTATTTATTATTATTAATTCATATATTTCCCCCCATTAAAACCCTTTCCACCAGACTCATTAAAAAAGTCCAACTCCCAGAGAGTTCCCCATGAACCGGCATATCTCCACTCTCCCTAAAAACCTCATCGACTTCACCAAAAAAAATATGATTATTTTTGTCCATCAATCTACGTCCAAATACGAAGGCACGAACCAACTACAAAAGCCCACACTCTGTTACCACTGCAACATCGAATTAGACAGTCAAACCCAGATCATCAAATCTGCAACCTCTAGTCCAAAGCCATACTTGCAATCTCTACCATCGAACCTGAACGGAGCTCGAATCGAATAAAGCTTGAATTGCTTGCTGCTGCACCAAGAATCTGAATCTCACAACCCCAGTTCGCATTCTGACGAAGTCCCAGTTGGAGGCACATGCTTGGCTCTAATCTCACAAACCCAGTTGGAGTTGCGGAGGTGCATGCTTGGAGATGACGAGGCGTTGGAGACGGGGTGGGCAATGTTGGCAAATTGACAATATCATTACTATTACTATAGCTCCGTGTTTTTCACAAGAAGCTGCTTTTTGCAGCTTCCGGTTTTTAGTTTTTTTTTTTCGTCTAAAACTTTGAAATAAAACTGGATTGGAGTGTTTATCAAACACCAAAAACTCTCTTAACTTTTTTTTTATACCAATTTTTTTTAAAATCACCTCAATACCAAACCAGAGCTTAGTATATGTCACTGTATTTTTCTTATGCATCTCTCTTCTTTCTGTTGCGTGTGATATTTTGTTGTGTACAATAATGCAAATCATATATAAAGGTATTTCATCCGACAATTACAAAAAGCAAACAACCTTA